AAAATAACACTTTCAGGGTAATTTCCCAGAGAATGTTACCCAGTAATGAAAATTCTGTAATTATTTACTCACCCACATCCAAAACCATACTTTCTTTCATCTGTGGAACACAAAAGGAGATATTTTAAAGTTCCTCTTTTCCATGCAATTGCCATGAATGGGGACTGAACCTTTCAAGCTTCTAAAAATTTATAAAAATACCATAAAATTAAAAGTAAAAAGTCCTGTGTGCTATATTCACTATGTATCTTTACAGAACAATTTTGAAATTTAAGTCATTAACTTAAAGTCTTGTCACATGCTCTAGGTGTGTTAATGAGAAAAGTAGATTTAAAGATTTAAATAGATTTTATAATAATTTTCAGTCTGTTCCTGATGTATTGCTTCTGAAGGCTTGAAGTAAAGCACATATGTTAGACCATTATTATGATATTTTTTTCCCAGTAAAACTGGATGGGGAAAAAAAAAAGAACCAGTACATTCTAATAAATTTCTCTTTTCATGTTCAGAGAAAATAAAGTGATGGTTTAACATCATTAGGTTAAGTACATAATGACAGAATTTTCATTTTTGAGTGAACTGTTCCTGTAAGTCATATTTTTATTGTTTCTGAGAGCATTTACCAGTCCACTTTTCTGGGTAATATAGATTACAAATCCATTTCCTTGAATAATACACCCCAGCATGCTGTCCTTTAAATAGCATATAATTTTTTGGCTACATTTGAATAATCAGAAATGCATTAAATATATAAAAAAACAAGAACATTATTAGATTTCTTTTGTATGATGACAAAATGGATGTAAAGAAGGAAAAAGTCATTATAATGCACATATTAGTGTGGAATTGAATGAATCAGCCCTCAGACACACACAAGTTGAGTTGATTCAGATTGGGTTTATTAGTGCTGCTAGGAGTGACACACGTAGTGACGCAGTCTAACAACACTTTCTAGATTACATTCAAAAATACTCATTGTACAGACACTCCATTCAAATCACTTTAATATTCACATAAAAATCTGAGCAGATTTTTAAATGGTTTTTCTAGATCTTTATATAACACATTTATTGGCATGTTGGACACTTCATTTATTAAAGTCTGTTTTTATACATAGCTGCCTTGGTTTTGTACACAACCTACGCTGTTTATGAGATAAGCATGTGCCTGCAAAAACGTCTCGGTTATGTATGATAATCCTCGTTCCCTGATGGAGGGAACGGAGATGTTGTGTCAAAGTTTCCGACACTAGGGGTCACTCTTGGGAGCCCAGACACCTCTGACATCATTGAGAAAAGGCCAGTGAAATTGCTGGCCACACCCCGGACATCCGGGTATAAATACGCCAACGTAGCATTTGCTCACTATTTCTGTTCTGAGGAGTCGAGAAGCGTCTCACCCCACTCAGAGGCAGTTCAGAGTTGTGGCATAAGGGACACAATGTCTCCGTTCCCTCCATCAGGGAACTAGGGTTACCGTACGTAACTGAGATGTTCCCTTTCACAGTGGTGGCTCGTGGGTTTTAAAATAGAGGAGGCACACTGTATTGGTCTGGGATCCCTGCCGATTATTATTATTATTATTTGCTTAACACTTTAAAATGGCTTTTTGGTTGCTTTTAGTCAGAAAACGTAAAGAAAACGACATACATACATTAAATCGTCCTCCTCCCATTTTCACCTTAAAATCCTCCCCCGACGAGCCGCCACTGCCCTTTCAGTCTGTCACTTTGATGTCGTGTTGAAGTTTCCAACACTAGGGGTCTCTATACTAAATGGCACAGCTGCTGAACTGCGTTACGAGACCACGGGGGCGCAGATGTTGACAAGCCATGTGTCACGACCAAATGCACCTCTCCTCCTCACAACCTTCAAATGCCCAAGACTTATGACCTCACTCTTCAACAACCAGAAGAGCCGCCAAGAAGGCAGTTGATATGCCAATGCAGCCGGGGGCCCGTCCAGACCCCAGAAGCTGCATGCCCATTGCATACAGCACCCCAGCATGTCTCAGAAGCATCTGTTGTAGCAACGATGCATCTGGAAACCTTTTCTAAGGGCACTTCTGCCCATAGAAATGAGATGCCCTTCCAAGGGCCGAAAGTGCGGCGACACTCTGGTGTGATGTTCACATGATGTGTGCCTTGGCGCCATGCCCATCTCGGGACTCGGGAATGAAGCCAGTGCTGAAGCAGTCTCATATGCATCAGTCCCAGCGGCGTGACCCACGCCAAGGCAGGATGTGTTTGATGGCCTCTGACTGCTTCTTAACCATGGAGAACTGCTGCGCAAATTCTTCCACGGTGTCGCCAAAGAGACCAACCTAGGAAATGAGGGCATCAAGAAAGCGTACTTTCTCGACTTCCCGCATCTCAGCCAGGTTGAGCCACAGATGGCACTCCTGGACTACTAGCATGGACATCGCCCTGCCCAGAGTCGGAATGGGAAGTGGCTGGGGTGACCCAGGGTCTTTTGGTGAAGAACCCGAGCTGCAAGCGCAATGTGCCTATGGCCAGGACCTCGCAAGCGGGACATAAACCACCCACGAATGCTGCTTCAGCGTAAGCACGGCCCATAATACATAATAACTGCAACCAGAAGAACAAGGGTGGAAAGGCATGATGTAAACAAACAATTCTTCCCGTGAAGCTCTTTCAGAGAATTTACTCTTTTAGGATGAAATTTGCTCTCAAAGATCGTCGTTGAAGCACCCAGGGGTACTCTCACAACACTTAGCTGTTGTATGAGAAGGGAAAGACTGCTGCCTGTTCTGTAGATCCAATGATGAGGAGATCGAGAGGCGAATGAGTGCCTCTTCTCACAGAGAGGCGTTGCATTTGGCTCCAAAAAACAGAACGAGTGAGTGAATGTTATGCTGGCCTATACCCAGATATCTGGGGTGTGTCCAGCTATGCAAATCAGAGATTGTCTTACTATTGGGAGATACGAGGGTCTGTATTACTTACTATTGGAGAAAGTGTAACGGTCAACTTGGATCATTAAATGATAAGCTGTTTCCTCTAAAAAGCTGTTTATTCAGCGTAGTGAAGCCTCTCCTCCATTGACATCCATTCAAAAAAACAACCTCTCCCCCAAGAAAACGGCCTCTAGTCTCCGTTCCCACATACTGCCAAAGCGGAAACATTAGCCGTTACGCTTTTTTGGCTAAAGGTTGTTGTGGCTAGAAGGGATACAGCAAAAACCGGAAGCTAACAATAAATTTAATTTTCTACCTATTATTGTGTTTTATTAACGTCTACACCTACCCCAACCCTAAACCTACCCCTTACAATAATGCAAAAATAGTAATTATTGTTGTACAGTGTGAGAAAAATTACGCTATAGCCTATTGATGTGCGCATGCCCAGTAGTTTTTGCTGTATACCTTCTAGCCTTAACTGGTTTCAGGCTTGCCTTCTGCAAATTTTTCTCGCCAATCAGACGCTCTATTCGCGTTTGGTGTGAACGCAGCATTACACATAGGATTACATTGCGCATAGGATTACATAGTTTACACAGAACAAACAATAATTAGTTGCTTTTACACAATATGAATTGAATTCCTTTTAGACTCAACGTAATCATAAATGAATAACCAGTTTAGTCTCAAATACCATAAACATTAGCTGCTTCTCAAACGGAACTTAGAAGCTCAAATTTGTAACAACAGAGACATCACGTGGAATTCCAAAGAATTGCAGCAGGCTGTAGAGGAATTTATCCCAGCGATGTTATGGGATTCAGGCTAACGTTGCTGTACGTTGTAAAAACGTGATATTTTACAGGAGTGATTTAACTCATGCACTTTTGTATTTCATGGCTGGATCAGCTAATGAGTTAGATATTTTTCTCTTAGACTTATAATATCGGGCGGACCATTTTAATTTTATTAATAATAATAATTACAGCTATAAGATATGGTTTTACTGCTTGCTTACAGAAAAAAAACACTTGACAATGAAAACTGAAGAATGTAATATAATTAAAAGTGCTTCACTGGCCTAGATTTGTTAAAAATACTGCTTTGATTCCTTCCAAACAACTGATGGACATTTACTCTGCGTTAATGCTACATATACAATGTATAGAACATCATAAATACATCAGTAGGCCTAAACAACGACCACCTCACCTGCAACTGAAGATCTTATGTCTGCGGTTTCCTTAAAAATAAAATAAAAATGAAATAAGCTGATTATATATGGATATTAACATAAACAACCCCCAAATAAATGTTTTTTTCCCCATAATAAATATTTAAAAAAATCACAGTAAACAGCATGTTACAGATCTAATTTATGCAAACAATGAAGTAAAATTAAATGGGGCCAGAGTATAATAAAAATAAATAAATAAACAAACAAACAAACAAAGACGAAAAGCTTACCACTTCACTGACAAATCGATATTTATTTTTCTTAAAGGGGTCATATGATGCGATTTCAAGTTTTCCTTTCTCTTTGGAGTGTTACAAGCGCCTATTGATGTGCGCATGCCCAGTAGTTTTTGCTGTATACCTTCTAGCCTTAACTGGTTTCAGGCTTGCCTTCTGCAAATTTTTCTCGCCAATTGATGTCAGAGGTGTCTGGGCTCCTAAGAGCGACCCCTAGTGTCGGAAACTTCAGCACAACGTCGAAGTGACTGACTGAAAGGGAATTTCACTTTTCTGTGCACAAGTCTTTGCACTACATAAAGACACTCTAATGCTGCGTTCACACCAAACGCGAATAGAGCGTCAAATTCGCGTCTATTACATGCTCTAATAGAATTTCTGCTTTTACATTTAGCTGTCACAAAATGACGGAGAAAAGCTATGAAAAGATATTTATAAATTTAAACAATTTTTTCATATACAAGGAATTCCAATAATGATGATACAGATAATTGTGTGATTACACTCTTTTATTTGACCATCCCAGGACTACTGCACGCACCTGTGTGCCGTCTTTAAATGACGCTCACGCAGGTACCTTGCGTCATTCTCAGAGGCGGAAACGCGGAAGCAAAGCGCGAGCACATTCCACGTCACTTGATGTGGATTTAGCGCGAGCGAGAGCCAGGATCCTGACAGGAGAATTTAGCGCTTTGACGTGAAAGTCGCCGGATGTGATGCCACGAGCATTTTGGCTTCACGCTCAAACTGACAGCGAAGGGAATATCAACGGGTTGTAAACTGAGGTTTCATCGCAAGGTAATGTTTGTGTGCGGAGCTGTTCCTGCGGTCAGAGCGCGTGTAACGATAGAAGGCGGCTGCTGTATGTCGCCGTTTTATTGGTTATTCAGTGTTTCTTGACGCCGTGTGTCCATCAGTGCAGCTGCTGATATGATGGGTATATCTAATAATAGGTCTGTATTGCGCAAATGCTGTGTCTCAAAACATAGCGAGATACCTAAATAGCATGTTTGGAGCTTTGTAGCAGTGCTGCGATTCCCAAATATGATGTACGCGCGTATGATGCCCAAAAATGCTATTTAGAGAGGCAGATAACATCAGATTGTTGGGTATGGGCCTTTTTGCTTTGATTAATAGATATTCACACTTTATGGATATTCTTCTTTGGCATAGTTTCGCCTTAGATTTTATGCCAGATTTATTTAAATTACTTCTAATTTCATTGTTGCTAGCGTATAATGTTTCTAAATGTTCGTTATGTCAAATATAATGTACATGTTTCCCACAAAACACTTACTGTTATAGCTTGTGTCTGCCATAATTTTTAACTTGCATAAAAGTTTCATGAGTTGGTTTGTTTTTTTATTACAACATTGGCATTGTCATGATTATTATGCTAAATATCTGAAAATAATTAAGTGTGCTGTAATGTTAGACTGCCATTACCTATTAAAACATGTCAGGTCAAGCAAGCTAAGTAACGCTGTCAAGGGTGCATCTCCAACTGTCACCACAAGGGTATGAGGTGTGTACATGTTTTGTAAATTTGTCAGAGGGAACACGTTTCACTGTGATTTTAGTACAGTACAGTATTAGCAGAAGGTCAGCACAGTATGCTTAATGTGCTGTAATTAATTGTGCTCAGCAAACAGTAATGCAGCTCCCCTGGATTTTTCCCTTGTGAATCTAAATCGTTTTGGCTATGGTGGGAAATTAAATTTTTGCCTATTAGACACAGAGGATGCAGAATTTTACCAGCCTTTCAGGTTTTTAGAAGCCAATTAATTAGTAAAGTGATATACAGTATTTTAATTCACATTTTCCCCACATTTGAGGACCACTGAGGACACTGTGGCTGATAGGTGGACTCTGACCTCTTTAAAATAATATGTCTGTGTCTGCTATTATTTTTTGGAACCCATTTTAGATTACCTCTAAAGTTGTTTGACTATTTTCTTTCATTTTTCCACTAAAATACTAAGAATAATACAAGAATAATGATGAATGAGAATATAACAAATGAAACATTGTCTTAAACTTTTCTTTCTTTCTTTTTGACAAATATTTAAAAATATTTGGAATTGTGCAAATGCCAAAATCAACTGAACATGCAGTGTGATACTTGGGATCACATATGTATATATTTTATATACATATGCATAACAGTTGTAAGAAAAGTGTAGTATTTGTTTTAATTCTAAAAAATAATTTGAATTTGGGAAAATAATTCTGTTTCTAATAATTCTAATTCTGTTATCAATCATAGTATCTTTCACAGATTTATTTTAAATAAAGTATATAGTATTCGTAAAGAAATTGTTAACAAGAATAAAAAGGTAGTAAACACAGTAACCAACAGTAATCTAGTAAGCCTGTGCTCACTGGGAATCATATTTTCTTAAACAAAGACCAGGTAATGCTCATTTTACATACAGTACACAGTGTATATGACATCGATATACAAACTGGATATAGAGCAGCACAGTTTGAAATATGAAAATGATTAATGCATTTGTCTTTTAGTTATTAGACAGAACTGTTAAACAAAGGAGGTGAACTAGTGAAGTCTCAAATGTGTTTTGCCAACTTTCCCTGCACCTGTTTATCAGACTATTAACAAATTGGTTCCTCAAGAGTTTGTTTTTGTTTCTAAATAACAGAATTTCTTGTCAGATGCGAGTCATGTTGCCTTGTAGAGAAGCCAAAATTACCAAAATTATTTGGCTGGTGGTTATTTCCAATCCTGTTTGTGTCTCTTTGTTAAGGCCGTCATGCTAATTCTGAGTCTGTCTTTTTACCTGTTTGCAGTGTGTCTGATCTGGTGCTCGATTTTAATGGGCGAATCAGGGACACGCCGCTCCACCCTGGTCTCCAGGCTTCCCATCTTTAGACGTAGTGTGCGAAAGAGGCAGGACTCGCTCCCCTCCTCACCCTCGTCCGGTGGTGTTGGCAATGGCGTTCACACTTCCTCTCCCTCCAGCACGAATTCCAGTTCCAGCAGCACGAGCAAACGGCGCAGCCTGTTCCGCACACCGTCCCTCAGCTTCCACAGTAAGAGGAACAGCGACCCAACCCAGCTCAGCCTGGACAATCGCAGCCAGGGATCTGAAGTCACCTTTCGAGATGGTTCCATCTCAAAGACGCGGCATTCATTCAGATTTGGCGGACACAAGAAGAAGATCACCCGATCTCAGACGGAAAACCTTGAGAAAGTGTCCGCTAATCGCAGCGTGTTTATTAATTGCATCAGCTCAGGGACCAATGAGGGAGATGATTCAGGGTTCCTCGATGATGTGAGCAGCAAGAGGTCTTCCAAGCATAAGAAGCAGCTGCTGCCCAAGTCCTTATCAGCTCACCAACGTTTTTCCAAGAACTTGTCCAATGTCCCAGACCAGGGTAAAGGTCAGGATGGTGTGGAAGATCCTCCTAAAACTGGTACCCCAGGTTCCTCGCCTGGAGAACTGGCTGAGAGTTCTCTACAGTCGCCCATGATCTCAGAAGACCGCACCACGGCAATAACACCATCTGATTTTGTTCACGTCGCTGAAGACTCTGTCTCAGAAGTTGACGCTTTGCCAGCCCCCAGTCCAGCTGCTCCACCTGAAAACTTCAGCCAAGCTGTTTCTCCGTCGCAGGTGCCCTTCTCCCCAGCCCAGGCCTGCACGGAAAAGCACTTACTGCCAGATACCAGCCACACAGCCAACACACAGCGTGAGAGCACCACTGCCCATACGGAACCAGTACTACTGCAGACAGTGAAAGAGCTGAACCCTAACACTAACCTTAATGCTAATGCTAACCCTGACCAGTCAGAGGCCAGTGAGATTGAGCAAGCTCCAGAACTGAGTGAGGACAGCAGCTCCAGCCCAGACGCCCGTGAAAGGCGGTCTAGGAACACTGTACTCATCCAGCAGGCAGGAAGATCATCAGGCCTGAGCAAACTAGAGACAAGGCCAAGTCACCTGAGAAAGCCGCACACAGGTAATGTCAGCAAACTCAGTTGCTGCTTTGTTTGTTTATATAGAAGAGCAAGTTTTGTGGGAAATTATTCACATGCTTGTTCCATGACAGAAACGTGTTAATCTTTGATCTTTAAACCAGTTTCACTAATCTTTCACTGAGATTTCATCTGTAGCTCTTATGACCTCAGAGCTTCCTAGATAACTTTCTGCTTTCACCAAGATAATGAACTGCTCTGATTGACACTTTAATTTCACATGAGGCCATGGATGCTGAAGTTTAAAAAAATGTTTGGAAAGACAAAAACAACGGAAAAGTTGGGTACTACAGGTATTCATGAAGTTGTTTTTTCTGGTTAAATTTGTTTTAAACGTGACAGCCAAATGAATTGTCTTCACAATGTTTTTGGTACATCGTAAGGCAAAATGATGTGACCAGCTATCTGCACGTTTTCTTGCTGTTACACAGCTACTTGCCAAAAAAAAAAAAAAAAAAGACCTATGTATTTATTATAAAAGAAGGGACCTCAGAGAGAGAGAATATACATGAATGAATATAGCACAGATATATGTAGAAACTTTTTTTATGGCAACAACAGTCAATTATATTGTGTAGTGGGTCAGTATACAAAATATTGAAAAATACTGTGATTGACCAATCAGCATGTAGTATTCCAGAGAGCCACGTAATATGCTAAATGAGAAGTCGGTTAATGCTGGAGAGATATCAGGCATCAGATACTATTAATGCCACATTATTCATTATTTGTAATGAATTAATCTTTCACATAGTTGATTATCATATTTGTGTTTTAAAAATGAAATTTAAGCCCTCATGTAATAACCTATAAAAGCTCTGCATAACATGTAACCTTAAACTGAATGTGTAACTGATCTTCACAGCTCTGGAACTGCTGAAAGCTTAAACTAGTATTTTTATACACGCAAACAAAAACTGGGAACTTTATTTAAAAAAAAACAAAAAAACATTCACCCCTCCCTTTAGAAGCAATACTTTATGCTCCAGTTTGGCTGTAGTTTTCTTATGACCTGTGATTTTCCCTTCTGTAAATTATACTTTGACATTATAAGTGCTTTCACTCCAGAATGCCTGTGGCTTAGAGGTTTATGGGAAACTAACCAGCTCCGCTGTATTGAATTTCCTGTAGTGATGATGACCTGATATTGGCTTTACTATGGATCCTCTTGCAGGAGAGAGTGAACTCTACACTCAGTGGTTTCATTTACAATTACAGGCTTGGTGTCTGTTGTTTACCATGTTGGCAGCATATTATTTTGGTAAAACAAGTATTCCATAAATTTGAGCCAGTTTATTTTTTGCATGCTTTTTCCTTGTGAATATATTTACAGCAATCACTGTTATTGTGTCTTTTTATGCAGGTTTTCTTGTGACTGTGTAGGTTTTGGGCTTTCACTGAATATCGGTATATTTCTTTGATTGTGAATATTTGTGTCAGTATAGGATCCAGGATTAAAGCATTTTTGATGATAGTACAGTACTGAAACATAATTAATGACTCTTTGTTAGACTGTTTCACCTATCCATGTTGTTTAGATTTTAATATCTAGGTTAAGAGATAAACTAAACTTATTTTGTGCAAATCTGATGCAGTGGGTGAGTTGTAGTTTGTGCCCTAGGCTTGACACTTTTTTCTTTGTGTATTTAATGTCTTTGCTACATGTTTTACATATTCTTTAGATTGTGACCTACAGCCTAAGTTAAAGTCCATTGAGATCTATCTATTTCTGTACATATGGTGAGATACTGTTGAAATTGTAATAATTCAGTTTAAGGGAGGAAACTTGGTAACAAGGTGGTTTCCATATTTATATTTTCCACTACATTTGAATATTGTTGTTTTCCATAGAAGTGCAATTCACAGTTGCAGTTTAAAGCCATTCATGTGTATCTTCCATAACACTTTATTGTAGCTTAAATATATAAAGTGTATATTTCGACGAAGGAGCGTCCAGCGGGCTTGCGACAACCACATGTGACGACCCCGTGCTGGACTCCGCTTCATCCACGGTGAAAGCCCATCCGGCGATCCACAGCGCAAAGTTGATGTATTTCCACAGCGACCAGCATGGATCAGCTCCAGGCATGATGAAGCGGATATCGTCCTCTTTTGGAAGGTCAAACAAAGTAGTTTCGCTTTCACAACGAAACACACAGCACCTTCACGACATGGCGGCGGTGGCAACAACAATACTACAGCGAGAATAAAAGTTACGCCTCCTTTCTTTGCGTGAACATTTGGGTGGCGTTATGCAAATCTTCCCACATTGTGACGTAGACATGTTGGGGGCGTGTTAGAACGAGCCGTTTTAGGTAGGCGTGGTTGACTCTTAACTTTTATAAAGAATATCTCTTTAGATTTGAGACTTTAGTCTTTGCAACTTTACAGATCTTCTTTATGCACCAAGAGCTTGTAACACTTCAAAGAGAAAGGAAAAACTGAAATCGCATCATATGACCCCTTTAAATATTTATTTGTGAAAAATACTGTCATCTAAAGTATGTTTGTTTAACACATTTATTTTTTTTAAATAATTTTTCAAATGATTTCAAATTTCTTAAATATTAATTAAAATAAATAAAATTATATCGGTTTTATATCGGCCACCCTGATTTTCAGTTATCGCATCGGCTGTCAAAAAAACAATATCGGTCGACCACTAATATATAAATACATATATCATATCATATATCATATCATATCATAATGTGTAATCTAATACAGTGAATTACGAAGTTTTGCAATTGTTATTGTCCACTGCTTCATAACTCAGAACTGTTGGGCAGCAGCTCTTTGTTTTGAGGGATATGATTCTTTATGATTCTCTAATCTATGTTTGTTACAGTGTCCATGTGCAGCAGTGTGAGCCCGTACCATGAGGTGATGCGCATGGAGAGACGTCTGCGGTCAGCCTCTGAGGGTGCAGGAGGACCCAGACTTCACCTCAACCTCAGGGATCCTCACTGCATGGAGGGCAACACTTTATACAAGCAGAGAACCAGTTCCTCATCTTCCAAACTGGGCAGCATGGTAAGTATAATGCCATTCCATTGCTCAAGCTCGCATTTTCAAAACACATAACTGTCTTGTAAAGCCATTGATGTAGACCAGGGGTGGCGAACTCCGGTCCTGGAGTGCCGCAGCCCTGCAGAGTTCAGCTCCAACCCTAATGAAAACTCACCTGCCTGTAGCTTCCTAGTAACCGTTCAGACCTTGATTAGCTTGTTCAGGTGTGTTTGATTAGGGTTGAAGCAAAACTCTGCAGGGCTGCGGCTCTCCAGGACCGACGTTCCCCACCCCTGATGTAGACTCTCACTGCGTCTTTCAGAGGGATTAAATTCCCTCCCAGCGATATAATCGCAGTGCTTAATTAAACACACAAATCCTCTCACACCATTTTACCCAGCAGAGCCATGGGTCACTTTCCCTCTGTAGAAGATTCCAGTGCCTGAACATGTAGAGTGCCTAAAAAGTTTTATTAAACCTCTAAGTTATGTTGTTTTGCAGAATTGTATCTTCAAAGGGATTGTTGAAATTTCAATAATTTTTTCATTTTTTCATTTCAAACCTGTACAACTTCCTTTTTCTTTGAACACAAACTAGAGTTATTATAGAGAAAAAACATAAATATAAAAACTAATTCATAAAAAAACTAATTCAGTAAAATAACAGTGACACAAATAAAGTATTTTTGAATCATGTACTGGTTGCTCGTTATGATGCAGTTTCAGTGAATGCAGACTGAGGCTTTCAAGCTTCAAAAAGACACGAAAGGAGATGAACACAGCTATTGTATGACTTCAGAATTCTTGTAATATATTGCATATATACAGTATATGCTAAATGCACATATATATGTGTATAATAATAGCCCCAGTACTCATTAACATTCATTAGGGGTGTGCCATATCATACCGTCCACGATAATACCGGTATACATTTTTACATGATAAAAAAGTGTCATATCGCGATATCAATGATATAGCGATGCAATGACGTTTGGCGCATTTACGTTCCCTAGCGCGCACAACAACACCATAAACCCAATAGGTGTGTTCGACTTGAAACAGCGCTACACAGACTGATCGGTGTATGACATCAAAGTATCGCGAGAGCAGTTCTAGAGCATATTCGAGCGCACACTCTTACCGTCAAAAATAGGCGAGGCACATATCTTTAGCGAAGCAGTGCGGAGAACCGCTTCTGAAACGTGCCTCGGCGCCGCTGGTGTAAACACAAGCATTGACTAGAGTGGCCGCGTCGGAGCCGTAACGCGCCGCAGACGCATGCAGTGTAAATTAGGGGTAAATAAGTTGTAAGTCACCGATCGGTCTGCTTCAAGTTGAACACAGCTGCTGCTGCCACCTTATGACAATAGATTTACACTTCGAATTAGGTAGTTTGTCATCGATGACAGTAGCTCATTGGAAAAGGATGGAAAATGCCCTTCATTTCGTTTGCACTAATAAATGCTGCTGCCTGCCAGCTGCAATCACCAATAAAATGTTGTTCCATGTTTTGTTTTTTCTGTATCGTCATAAAAATCGTTATCGCAAATATTCTTGAAATATCGTGATATCATTTTGAGGCTATATCACCCACCCCTAACATTCATTATATTGAAAAGGGTGGACAAGGTATTCTTCAAAAATTCACACTTTTGTATTCCACAGAATCAAGAAAGGCCAATTAAAGTCCAATCAAGAAAGACTAATTAAATAGAGAGCAGTTGTGTGTATTCAAGAGGTTTCAACTGATTGTAGTATAAATACACCTTTACTTAGAAGGTCCAGATTCTGTGGAGTCAGTATTGTGGCAGAACCTAGACCTGAAGAAAAAAGTACAATCAAATCTACTCTGAAAAGTAATTCAAAAGCCCAAAGCAGGTGAAAGATATAAGAACATTTCCAAGTCATTAAATATATGCTGTGGAATGCAGTTAAATCAATAATTACGAAATGGAAAAGTATGGCACTGCTGTGAATCAACCTAGAACAGTCTGTCCTCAAAAACTGAGCTACTGTGCGAGAAGCAGTTTTGTGTGATGAAACTTCAGTAATATCTAGTTCTCAACATAAAACAGTTTGAGCCTTTTTGTTCTGCAAGTATTTATTAAAGCCACCATATGTTTATTAAAAGCTGACTACAGACAAATATGGTCCTTTAATCTCTCCACAAGACCTCACAATGAACCTGTGGATTATGTGTAATAACAGGAGCACTGTTCACAGCAGGCCATTTGAAGTCCAACAGTGATTGTGTTGAAGTTTGTTAAAGGCGGTGGAGCACAAGCAGTTCTTTAATTCCTGTAGTGGTGTTTTCAGTGAGAACATATATATATATATATATATGTATGTATGTATGTATGTATGTATTATATATATATATACAGTGCTAACTGTTAGAATCATAAATTACTACCAAAGGCTTCAGATATACAAAGACGGTGCGCTCATATTATATTGGACGAAATGCAGTGTGCATTATGGTGTAACAAATACCGCCTTCTAAATAAGAGAGCCAGTTGCCAATCGGTAAAGTCATGACATCACTGCAGCTGCCATTAGAAGCTCTGGTCGCCATAGAAACAGTCATTGTCCTGAGACCCGCACTTGGGACTGACTGCATATGCACATTGGCTGGGCCAACCTGAAATATAAGCTTTTTATAACACTATTTGAGCATAAGAAGCAGCATTTACAGTTTATATCAAATTTTGTTGATAATTTGAAATATTTTTTTTAACTGTGAATGTGGCAAGCAGTTTTTGAAATTTCCGGATTTCCCCATTCAAGTAGATAGGACACCCAAAATAGCTGCCTGGAGGCATTGCAAATATGGCTGCCAAGTGAACAGACTTTCCTTGAAAGGGACTTTGGTACTGCACACTTTCAGCATGCTAAAACACTTTCAAATATTTAAAAAGGGTCTCTATTTAAATGTACCAATGCTGAAAATATATAGTCGACCTAACAGGATAGTAACAAGATAGTCAACCATACTAACCCATCCCTATATTCACTAGTAGCTTGCTGCTTGGAAATTTACACTGATTTGAAAACAGCTAAACTACTGTCCCACTACTGATAAATGTACACTATTATTAAAAAGTTTGAGGTTGTTGAGATTTTGTAATGGTTTTAAAAGAAGTCTCTTATGCCCACCAAGACTGCATTTATTTGATCGAAAATACAAAAAACAGCAATATTGTGAAATATTATTACAACTTAAAATAACTGTTCTATTTTAATATTTTTTTTTCTATTTTAATATATTGTAAGTTATTCCTGTGAAGCAAAGCTGAATTTTCAGCAGCCATTACACCAGTCTTCAGTGTCACATGATCCTTCAGAGGTCATTCTAATATATTAATTTGGTGATCAAGAAATGTTCCTTAAATTATCAATGTTCCTAAAGTTGTGCTGCTTAATATTTTGTGGAAACCATAATACAGGATTCTTTGATGAATAAAACGTTCAAAAGAACAGCAATTATTTGAAGTAGAAATCTTTTGTAACATTATAAATGTAACTTTTGAATCATTTAATGCATTCTTGCTGAATAAAACTATAATTTCCTTCAAGGAAAAAAAACCCTATTGACCCCAAACTTTTGAATGGTAGTATAAAGTTAGTAGTGACTATTTTTAGCTGGTGCCAGTCATTGGTGTTATAGGGCTGACAGATAAAGAATTAAGCTTGAGTGAGATTTTACACTGTATAGACAAAACCCTTACAGGAAAACAATTAGTAATATAAAACAATGGCTCATATTTTGCTAGTTCCTACAAAGTTATAAAGGCTTTGTTTGGTTTCTGAATAATGTAGCCCGCACCTGCACAGCTTGAGGCCAAAGTAATTGCTCTTGTTTTCCAGCGTAGCAGAGGAAAACGCCACATCCTGTGTTATTGTTCTTTAATGCTCGCTAAGGTGCCACTGCTAATTTGTCATCAAGTCATGTGCCATGCAAAATTTGAGAGTGAGCGTTACCTTTACTGTGGCTGGGCTGACCTGGCCTTTCCATTTACATTATCCTGTTTGGCAGTTGTTCTTGGATGAGGCTACATCCTGAAGGCAGCGTGTCTGAGCAGGTTTGTCACCAGAAATCGGAAATCTTAGGAAACATGCTATATTTTTTGGGTGACTTTGAGGATCCAGAATCTTGTATTCTTGAAGCTGTGCCAGATAAAGATAAATTTATATGTGAGCCTTTTAATTTTAATTTTAATTGCCGGATGAAACCGATTTGTTGAAGGAAACTCCTCTTCTACGGTGCAGTCGTTCTGCAGTCAAGTTCAGAGAAAGGGCAACATTTTGTGTTGTGCAAGCTGCACGGAACAATGAACATTGTTATCCGTGATGTCCGATTTGCGAATAAATGAGTCGGTTCTTAATGAATTAGTCTCAAACATGTCCCAAATTCAAAAGTTGTTTGTATGAATTGGTCTAATAACTGACTCGCTTACTGAAGCGTGAGTCATTTTCAAAATGAACTTAAGCATGAAAAACAGTGATATTTGTTTTAAAATGTTTT